CTACTACTACTACTACTACTCCTACTCCTACTCCTACTTCTACTTCTACTTCTACTTCCACGATTACTACTGCTACTATGACTAATACTACGAATATTCCTACTCCAGTTACTACTGCTACTACTGCTGCTGCTGCTACTACTACTATTACTACCACTACTACGACGACGACGACGACGACGACGACGACGACGACGACGACGACTACTACTACTACTACTACGACTGTTACGATTACCACCAGTGTCAATACTACTACTGCTACCCCTACTACGAGTACTTCTACTAGTACTACTACTACAATAACTACTACTACTACTACTACTACTACTACTACTACTACTACTACTACGGCAACAACTACTACTACTACTACTACTACTACTACCACTAGTAGTACTACTACTACTACTCGTACTACTCGTACTACTACTACTACTACTACTACTACTACTACTACTACTACTACTACTACTATGGCATCGACTGCGGCTACGACTGCTACTAGTGTTAGTTTTATTTCTACTACTAATATTATTATTGCTAGTTCTACTTCGGCGACGACGACGACTACTACTACGACTACGACTACGACTACTACTACTACTACTACTACTACTACGACGATTCTTCTTACTACTACGATTACTACTACTACTACTACTACTACTACTACTACTACTACTACTACTACTACTACTACTACGACTACTACTACTACTCTTACTACTACTACTACTACTACTACTACTACTACTACTACTACTACTACTGCTGCGACTTATTCTTCTTCTGTGACGGTCCCTGCTACGGTAACATCGACAACGGAGTTTCGGAAGGGGGGGGGCCTCCCGCGGCGCTCAGGACGTCTGGTGGGCGAACCTGTCGTCCGCGGCGCGCGACCTCGAGCGGGGCCTCCTGGGCACGGCAATTCCTGCCCTTCTTGTCGCCGCCGCCGTCCTCGTCGTTGTGGTCGCCGTCGGTCGTCGCCTTTGCCGCCGCCGTCGTCGTCCGCATCGCCGCCGTTATGCCATCTTCATCGCAACCGTTGTCGCCGCAGCCGCCACTGCCGCCGCCACCAGCAGCCGTCGCCCTCGCCGTCGCCGCAACCATCGCAGCTGGCGTCGGCGTGTCAGTCGTCGTTGCGGTCCGACCCCCGCGGCATTGCGCGGGAGGGGCCCTCCCAGGCTGGCAAAAGCGCTTGGCGCCTGAGCAGTTCCGCGTGCTGCGGCGGAAGGCCTCCCGGTCGAGCGGCCCGGCAGGCGTCGTCGTCGTCGTCTTCGGGGGCCTCAGTGGTGGTGTTCGGATGCTGTCGGGGGCGTCTTCCGTTGTTGTCGCCGTCGTGGCCGTATTCGTCATCGTCACGTCGCTGTCGTTGCTTTGGTTGCCGTTGCTCGTCCTAGAGAGGCCTCGTCGCCATAGCCGGGTTCTCCCCGAGGTTCTTGTCGGGACACACCCCGACAGAGATTTGGGGAGAAGCGGTCATTGGTATCTTGTTGTTGCCCACCCAGTCGCCGCCGTCTTCGAAGGGTGGATCAGGATGGAGGGGGAAGAAAAAGGATGGGATGATGGAGAAGGAACGGGGTCAGACGAGAGGGCGGGGGGGATCGGGAGAGAGGGGAGCGGGAGGAGAAGGACGAGGAGGAGGAGGAGGAGGACGGGGAGGAGGAGGAGGAGGAGGAGGAGGAGGAGGGGAGAGAGGAGGAGGAGGAGGAGGAGGAGAGGAGGAGGAGGAGGAGGGAGGAGGAGGAGGAGGGGGAGGAGGAGGAGGAGGAGAGGAGGAGGAGGAGGGGGAGGAGAAGCAGGGGGGAGGAGGGAGGAGGAGGAGGAGGGGGAGGAGGAGGAGGAGGAGGACGAGGAGGAGGAGGCGAAGTCTGCGGCGTGCAGCTGGTTTCGGTTCTGCCGCCGGGCTCGTTCCTCGATACATGTCGCCCTGGGCGGCGCCGAGAGAACCAGTTTCGGGAGGCTCATTTCCACCCCCACTTGGCTGTGCCCTTTTTCGTCCAACCTGCAGGGAGGGGGGCTCTTTCCCTCCGTCCTGCCCCCCCCCATACCTCCTCGTTCTCACTCTCTTGTCATCGTCCTCCTCCCTCCCCCTCATCTTTTTCCTCTGTCTCTTGCCCCTCCTCCATTTCCTCCTCCCTCCTACACATCCTGCGCTCTCAAGCAGCAGGATCTTCTGCACTGTTGTTGTGTGCCGTGCGTGTGGTCAGTGCTCTTAGAGCACCATGAAAACTACAAGGATAATGTCAGAAGCGCTTTCAAGGGCAGTTTCTCTAAGGGAACGGGCACTTTTGGCATCAGGCCGACATCGACAACGCGGCTGGAAAGCCGCAAGCCGCCTGTCCCGCCCAATTTCCGCTGCAAGGCTCTTCAACGAAGGGGCGCGGCGCGTGACGCAGCGGCCGAAGCAGCAGAGGAGAGGTGATGCAACCAGGCCATCGGAGCCTGCGGTATCGGGTTGGGTCGGGTCGGCCAATCCTTTGCCCCCCCCTTCAGCATGTGTGAGTCATCCTCTTTCCCGGCGCTTGGCCCTATCCCTCGGCAGGGTACGGAGGAGATTCATTCGGGAGAGTACAACGACCACTTCGAGAAGGGCACGTACCACTGCAGCGGGTGCGGCCAGGCCGCATGAAGATGCGGAACAGGAAGGGAAATTGGATGCGGAGTAGGAGTACCAGGAGGAGGAGATGGAGGAGGAGGAGGATATGATGCAAAACAATAAAAATAGTGGAAGCTGTGAGGAAGGCTTGCTCCTCTCCTTCTATATCTTCCTCCTGCTCATTCATCTTCCTCCTCCTCTCTCCTCTTCTTTGTTCTGTTCTCTTCACCTTATTATTTGTCCTCTTTTCGCCTCTCTCCTCTTCACTCCTCGTTTCGCCTCCTCGCCTCTTCGCCTCATGGGCTACGTACTGAAATATCATCCCCTCTCCTATCTCTCCTCTTCCTCCTCCTTCTCTGTCCTTCTCCCATCGACCTCATCCACTCCTTGCCCTCACAGCTGACTCCTTTTCTGTCGATCCCCACACATGTCGTTTCGGTAAGGCGGGCTATGCGTTTTGCATTATGTTCCTGAGGCTTGCAAGTCGCGACAGCTACAGGGATGGTTGGGGGACGTCTCCACAATGAAGCTCTCGCCAGAGCGCCCGAAGTTGCAGCGGTTACAAGGACGGGGACAGCGTCTCGCACAGCAGAGCGCTTGCAATACTTGCGAGGATGGAGGACAGTTGATTTTCAGCATGGGGACCTCGCTTGAGAATTCATCTTGGCATCGCTCGGACGTGTGCATTTTCCCTCGTCGGAGCATCCTGGACCATCGTGCGAACAATACGTGCGCCATCGAATCATTAACAGGGAATGGGCGTCCGAGCGACGGGAAGCTTGAGACCTCAGACATTTCACACACCAGCATGGAGGGCGGATCTCCTTTGCAAAATGGAGGGTGGCGTCTTCTCAGAGTGGGCTTCCTCGAAGTCCATGGCTCGAAGCGCAAGCTTCATCGAGCAGCAATTCCACGGATGGGGGTCGGCTTTTTTGTCAAAATGGGGATCTCGTTGGACACACCATGGAATTGTATAGTGGTATAGTGGTGCAACGCTCGTTTGTTTGTTTGAATGAGAGTGGACCTTTGTGGCCGCGATGCAAGCAGTTCGTGCACGCCCATCGCCCCCCACTGGCTTGTCGGAGGCGGCCAAGAGGGGGGTGATGACTAGGGGGGGGATATCCTGGCGTGGGCCATGATACTTCCTCAGATTTCATGGCGCTTCCTCTGATTCCATTCCATCCCTAACCCCCCCCACCTGAGGTCCGATGTCGTGACTTTTGTCAATACGGGATCCCTGAAAGTCTCGACCCATTCCCCAGGACCGGTTTTTTTATCCCAAGTCGTTTGGTTGACGGCCCCGAATCCCGGCGAAGGCCCCTAGGGGCCAAACTTTGCGAAAAACCTCCGTCTTGATTTTTTCAACACGTTAGATATCTGGCCCCCTGGGCCGCGCACGTGAGGCTGGCCACGATTTGCGTCCCCCCCTCTTGGACGCCTCCCCCCTCGTGGCCGCCCCCTGGGACCTAGGCTTGGCGAGGCAGGCCTGCGCGCCCGGCCTTTCGCATCGGTGTGGGTGTGGTGGTGTGGGCGGGCACCGGCGGCGGCAGGATCCACCTCGATCCGAGCGGTGCGATGTCAATTTTCGATCCCAGAGATCCAACGCATTGAAAAAATCAGGACGAAGGTTTCGTCACAGAGGTTTCGGCCTCTGGGAGCCCTTACTGGGCCTCGGGGCTGTCAAAAAGCACGACCCTGGGCGAGGGGTCGGGATTTCCTGGGACCCCGTATTAAACAAATCACGACATCGGCTCTCTGGGATTCCGGCCGGCCCGATCTGTTTGTGGATGTAGTCGGGCCCACTGGGGCCCTTATCCATACCCAATGCACGCTGGGGTCCCACGACGTCGGTTCTACAGGCGGTGGATATTCGCAGGTGGGTCGTAGATTGTTCCCCCTGCCCCCCCTTCCTCCTCCTCCTCCTCCTCCTCCTCCTCCTCTTCCTCCTCCTCCTCCTCCTCCTCCTCCCATCTAGCCTGGCCCAGTATCTACAACAGACTTGCTGCAGACTTGCTGACGTGCCCACGCAATATCGATGAAAGCAGCGCAGGGGTCTGATTGGCACTCTTATTCTTTCACTTTGGAATGTTGGCTGGGACCCGATCTCGTCTGTGGAGTGGATCGACCACCTGGGCAACACCTGTCAGATGGGCGAGGGCGACGACGACCACAAGGGCGACCCATCCGACGACACCCATGCTATCCTGGAAACACAACAGCTCCAGCAATGGACCAAGGCCTCAGACCATTGGCTGGGCAAGGGCTCCGAGTAGGCATCGACACCTACGACCTTATCAAGAAGCTGAAGGTACTGCGTAAGCGAGGCAAGCTCCATGAGGCAGGTGCACTACTGGAGGTGGCAAGCGCTGGCATGTGGACGCCTGACCGCAAGCATAAGACATTCACAGATGCATCCAACCTTGCGCCTGTGGCGAGATCTGCGACGACCTCCACAAAGTATGGGGTACAGTTTCGTGCAAGGACGACCACGAGGACTACGACAAGACGGAGTGCATTGGACAAAGGGCCATATAAGGCAGCCAACACACACACTGCTTGTGGCTACGTGGGCTCATGCTCAAGGCATGGACAGCGCCGCCAGGTTGCGACACAACAGAGCAGCACACCAACATCGGCGACTTCGACAATGACGGCAAGGTAACGACTACGGACGATATCGTTGTGGTATGCACTGACGGCAGCGGAGGAGAGCAACCTCATGACCGTCGATATTGAAGATGCGGATGGGATTGTCCAAGCTGCAGCGACGAGGAAAAGAATGGCAATTGAATGCTGGGCAGTACGGACCACTTCCAGGACGATGGCATTCCAACAACAGGGCAGAACAATGGGCAATACTACAGGCGATGCGATGCTCATATGGACGACCCCACATCTGGACGGACATAGGGGGGGCCATTCGAGGATGGCAGCGTGGCCACCATGTACACAATGCACGGCGTCACGCGAACTACGACGTCTGGAGCCTTCTTGGCAGGGTTTTGCATCAGACAGCTCCCAACCACAGAGACCCCGAGGTGCTCGTAAAGCTGCAAGACCCGCCGAGCACCTCGTAAAGGCTGTGGCTTGCAGTGAGCCTTGAGGCGTCGCTCGGCAATGCAGCAGCGGATGCCCTGGCCGACAGCGGCGGAGGCGCACGCGATCGCAGCTCCGCAGCTCAGCAACCTGCGCGCTGGTGTGGGAAATATCCACTCGTGCTCGCCTCGCGGCCTGCGCCAAGGACCCCGCCGCCCAGATGAGCAAGACGCAGACCTCCCAGGAGCCCAAGAAGAGAAAGCCACCTGTGAGCTGAGCCAGGACCTTTCCGCCTCTGCCCATGTCCCCCTCCCTTCCCGTAGTCGTTGGCAGTGCACTGCGTGTAAAGAAGCAGGAAGTAAGCGTGCAGGAGTCTTGGTCATCTAAGGATGGTTTCAGAATTGCAGAATTCGCTGTGGGTCTAAGTGTGCCCGAGGTCCCGCGCAAATCATCCCAAATAGGCAACAGATCCTTCAAGCTTTCCCACGCGATGCAATCTGCGGATAGTTGTTCCAGTTGGCGGTGCACCACCTGTGGCCGTCGGTCCGAAGTAACCGATCGGAGGAGTGCTAACGGATAGTTATTTGAGTGTAAGAGCCCGACCGAGAACGGGGTGTATATAATCAGTCGCCTATCCTAAGGCAAGCCAGTGCCACATCAGTGGCCGCTTCGTTCCCGATCCCCGAGGTGGCGCAGCCAATTGGCGTTACTCGACATCGTTGTCGCCGAAACTCCTTCGAAACTCCTCCTCCATCTCCCCCTCCCCCTTGCCCCTCCCCCCTGCCCGCGCAGGCGCTCTACCGCTCGGAGCACAAGTTCCGGAGTGGCCACGGCTGGCCCGCCTTCTCCGACTCCCTCCCGGAGGCCCTCGACCGGCACGGCACCGGGAAGGCGCGCTCTGGGCGCTCACGAGGCAGTCGTTGTTACCCCCTGGCGATGACGAGCGTGACTGGGGCGGGGTGGGCCTGGTGAGAGGAGGCAAGGGTACCCACAAGGTTACCGTTGCCTCGTTTTTCCCCTTTTGGGGTCTCCTGGGCGGCTCTCGTCGCCACCGCTGGATTCGCCTCGCAATTCTGGTCAGAACGCATCCTGGGAGAGGTCCCGGGAGTAATGGTATCGGTTTTTGGGCTGGGCTGAGGGGAGGGGTCGGTCACGTCACGATTCGCGCTAGCGCCGTGTGGAAGAAAATGCATCAGGCATGGCGGCGCCAGCGCGCATCGTGACGTGACTGGGTCGGCGGTTGGAAATGGGGACTCCTCAGGAATGCCCCCGCCTCCTAAGCAGGCCACCCCATTTTCCCCGGGTTTTTGTGCGCCCCGCCTTCCCCCAGGAGCTGCGCTGGGTCTCAGCCTCCTCAGGGATTCCGCGACGCGATCCGTTGGAGACTTTCGCACCCTGGCCTCCTCGGCCTCAGGCAGGCCTGAGACGAGGGTAAGCCGTTGCAGAACGCCCCTGGGCGAAGCCGCGGCCTCAGATGCATCTTCCAGACTGGCCTCAGGAGATGCCCGATCCATCCTCATCCGAAGGCCCCCGGAGCAGAGTCTCTACATCTACGTCTGTGACATATGTTATAGTATATATATAGATGCACACACCCATATCTAACAATACGTAGTCACATGTATAACAATGATATGTATATGTATGTATGCGTGCAAGTGTGTGTCAATGTTGAATTCCCCCTCCCCTGTGTGCATGTGCTTTATATAGCTATACATATACGCATACATACATACATGCATACATGCATACATAAATACCTACATGCATACACATACATACATAGATACATACACACATACATACATATATACACATACATAAATATGGTTGCATCCATGCATGCACGTATGTATATATAGATGTGTGTTCACATGCATACACACGCATACAACCACACGTACATATATGCACGCATACATACATACACATATATTTAGACATGCACACACATACATACATGCATGTATGCATGTATGCATGCATACATACATACATGTATACATGCATACAACCACACACATGCATACATACATGCATGCATACATACATACATACAACCATACATATATACATACATACATACATACATACATACATACATACACACATACATACATACATGCATGCATGCATACATACATACATACATACATGCATGCATGCATGCATGCATACATACATATAAACATACAAACATGCATACATGCATACACACATACATAGATACATACACATACACATACACATACACATACACATACACATACACATACACATACACATACACATACACATACACATACACATACACATACATATACATACAGACAGACAGTCATACAGACATGTATACACACATATACACACGCATACATACATCCATACGTCAAACCATCCATACATACACACATACATACGTTCGTACATACATGTGTACACACGTACACACATGAATGCACGCATGCATGCATACATACATACATGTGTACTCACGGTCGATGCATCCATCTACTCATGTATGCATTTTCCTAGTAAACGTATTGTGCACATGTATGACTAGACATGCTGTATACCCAGATGCCAGGTGTAAGTTCCTTCAGATCCTGCATCGGTGGCCCGTGTCCTAGTGTTGCCCGAACGGCCTCCCGTATGGACTCCATTATGATGTCAAATATGGCCTCCCGTGGTCTTACATGTAGACTAAGAGATCCGCGTGGTCTTCTTAACGTTCATGCGCATGCCGTTGGGGTTCTTCTAGAGATGGAGGCCGGAGGAGGGAGGGAATGGGAATGGACATGGGAATGGGAGTGGGAGGAGAAGTATAAGATCGGAGGCGGAGGGAGGAGGTGGAGGAGGAGATGGAGCAGGAGATGGGAGGAGGATTACAGGGGAGGATGAGGAGGAGGGAGGAGGAGGGAGGAGGGAGGAGGAGGAGGAGGAGGAGGAGGTGGGAGGGAGGAGGGCGGAGGGAGGAGGGAGGAGGAGGGAGAGAGGAGGAGAAGGAGGATGAGGGTGAGGCGGGAGGAGAGAGGATTATGAGGGAGGAGGTGGAGGGAGGAGGAAGAGAAGGAGGATGAGGAGGAGGAGTAGGACCGAGGTGGAGGGAGGGAGAGGAGGGAGTGGGGGAGGGATGGCCGCCGCAAGGTGGAGGTCACTTGCCGAGGGTGCGGCGGCCATCTCGGACACGTCTTCAGGTCGTCGCGCTACCCGAAGCCAAGGAGCCGAGCTGCAGCGCCGCCGCTGTCGGCGTCCAGTGTGGGTCCTCCCTCCTCCTCTCTCCTCCCTCCTCCTCTCCTCCCTCCTCCTCCCCTCCTCCCTCCTTCTCTCCTCCTTCCTCCTCTCTCCTCCCTCCTTCTCTCCTCCCTCCCTCCCTCTTTGGAAACGAGCAAGCGGCATAAAACCGAAATCTTCGGAGGTCCGCGCGGACGGATTCGGGCGGAACTCCGTCAGTGTCATGTTATGATGTTTCCATGGTCTTCGTCCACCCTCCTCCCTCGTCCCCCTTCCCAGACCTGTCTGATCTCGATTCGTTTGTAGGAGTTCGGCAGGCCAGATGAGTACAGTCAACCCGCCTAATAAGGATGGGCAACCTTCCCGAGGGTACCATTGCATCCTTGCCTCTTCGGTTCATTCTTGGCCACTTTCGTTGGCCGCGCCCCGCTCGAAACGCTTCGAAATGGGCGTCCAAGGCCCTTGCATCCTTATCGCGCATCCTTATGATACGGGTTCACTCTACGGATCGTTCCCATACCAGCATTGAGCGAGCGAGCTTTTCCAGACCTCGCGCTGCGAAAACGAGCGAGACGAGCGCGGCGGGAGGTTGCGGTCAGCTTCCGGCCTCGAGGGGGGAGGAGGGGGTTCTCGCGGGGCCGCGGGACCGAGAGGCCATGGGCGTCAAGCAGCGGTGCGGGACGAGAGGCCAGCCCCAGGAAGCGGGTTCAGATGTCCACGGGGGCAACGCTGTGTAAGATTTGGTGGCGTTGGAGTTCTGGGCCGCACGAGTGAACGGCAGCACGTAGTCGAGGCATCGATTTCTTGGCAGGTCATTCGAGGTTGCGAGGTGAATCTGCTCCTTGCCTTGGAGGGCAGGCTGGGGGCCCCCCAAGGACCGCAAAACGGATGTTGCATGCTTTGAAGAAGGCATGAGTCGAGTCCAGTTGGAGGATGGCATGCGCCCAGATGGAATCAGTGTTCGGTCTGACCTTCGAAGATCTAGGCCTCCCAGATGGGGTCGGAGTAGATGGGGGCGGAGGATCGCGCAGCATCGACGACGCATCGGCGACGCGGCTCGATGTGGAGCCCGAATCTCTTCGCGCTGGCGTCGCCGATGCATCGGCGATGCGGCGCGATCCTCCGACCCCATCTACTCCGACCCGATCCAGGAGGCCTCTAGAAGAGTGTTGATTTTCACAGATGAAAAGTAATCGGGGTATCTCACATGGACCTGTTCAGGGCGCTTCATGAGTAGCTCAGTACAGCAGGTCTACCATCCAAGAGTAGCTCCACGCCACCTTGCGCTCATGCTGTTGGACGATCCCACTCGGAGACAAGCATTCGGTCCTGCATTGTCATGGGTGACAGCACCGTGGGAGGCGGCAACGAAGGGAAACAGCCAGGAGACAGTCGCACTTTCTGTGTTACTCAGATTGGTTGACCCTGTGCTGTGTCGTTCTCGCTGCCTGGTCAGCAGCAAAAGGTTGTGCTGGAGCAGCACACCTTTCGCTTCAGCGCATCGGTTGGAGTTCTGACGGGCCCTTTGAATTATTGATGGTCAGGGTCTATCTGTCAATCTGACGGATGCCTGTCCCCATACGATGCAGGAGGGAGGAGTGGAGGGCGGTATGTTCTCCTCCCCTCACTGTGAGCCTGCCCCGAGGAACGAGCGGCACTGCGTCAACTCGGTGAGCCTCCACTTCCGGACCACGCCGCCCTGGGGGGGGGGGGGGGGGGCAGCACGGCGAGGAGGAAGAGTTGGAGGGAGGGCAGGGGAGGGAGAGGAGGAGGAGGAGGAGGAGGAGGAGGAGGAGGAGGAGGAGGACCAGGAGGAGAAGAGGAAGGCGAGTCAGGAAGGGATGCCGAGGCCGAGCAGGGGCGGGGGCAGGCGGAGCGACGAGGAGAGGGAGGGAGAGGAGGGGGGAGAGGAGGGGGGAGGCTGGGGGGCGCCTGGAAGGCCGCGGGGGGCGGGCGCTGGTCGCCGACTCGTGACCCCTTAGAGCCCCTCCCGGCGCACAGCTCACGGGGGCCGATGCCCTGTGCCGCTCCCGCGTGCTGCTCGGGGCCGGCCCGTCGCTCCGAGGTGGTGGGCGGCAGGAGCGCCACCGGGAGCCACCGGGAGGGAGGGGAGGGAGGGCGACGTCGCTCGGCGGAGGCCGGGCGGAGTGCCGCGCCCGCCGACGGACCGACGGACCGACGGACCGACTGGCGTCGGGGGAGGGCAGGGTTGAGCTCAGAAGCCTGTCCCTGCCTGCAGGAGAGTTCAAGAGATAGGCAAACGAGGGTCTGGAACGGTTTCGTTTGTGTGCTTGGGCATGTTGTCGGATATCTGCTGACTATGTTTTATGTTTCGTCCAGACTCCGCCTGTAGGAGGACACGCCCGACCTAAGACAACGTACCGATGCCGCCACGTGTCCCTCTCTTTCCCCTCTCTGGGCCTCCTTGGAGGCCCTCGTCGCCACCGCCGGATTCGCCTCTTGACATTCTGGTGAGAGCGCACCCTGAGAGAGGTCCTGTGAGAAGCGGTATCGGTACTTCGTCCAAGACCCTGCAAACGTGGCGTTAGTAAACGGGCCGGTAGCTGAGGGTGCGTTTTCAATGGTGTTCTCAAAACATGGATTTGCCGCGCACAAGTGCGAGGTACCCCCCCCGCCCAGAGTTCAGATGATGTATCGACGTGTTTTTGCCGTCCCGATTTATAGTGCACTAGTGCGAGGTAAATGCCCTGTGGCCCCGTTCTCGCCTGAAGAGGCCCCTTCTTAACGACCGCCCCGTTTAGTAAAGCCCCATTTGCAGGGGCTTGGCTTGTGGTCACCCTGTGACTGGCTGACGTCGAGCCGCCCTCAGTGGCGCCCGCACGCGGGGTCAACACGTCTGGGTCTGCGGGTCGGCTCTCTCCACAGGTACTGCAGGAAGCTCGTCCCGAGGCCCGGGGGGGCCCAAGACGCCCAAAACCGCCTCCACCATCGGATCCTCGACCTCCCCAGAGATCTAGCGTATTGAACAAATCAAGGAGAGGTTTTTCGCCGTTTTCGGGCTCCAGAGGCCCTTACCGGGCCCTGGGACCGTCAAAGAACGACTCAGGATGGAAAACCGGTCCTGGGCAATGGGTCGAAATTTCCGGGGACCCCGTATTGAAAAAATCACTACGTCGGATCTTTTGATCTTCCCCCTCCTCCATCTCTGGGCGGCCAAGAGGGGGGTCATGACTAGGGGTGGTGGGTGGTGGATACCATGGCAGGGGCCACGATACAGTGAGCGACTTGAACAAGGAACACTTGCTTTCCAAAAGGGTCTCGGCCCCTCCTTGAGCTTGCACGGGTTAGTTCTCGCTCCTTCTGCTTAATTCGTCATGTATCGTTCCTTATGCGGTCCTTAGGTCGGGCCGATGACTGTATCTCCCCAGATTTCATGGTGCTTCTTCTGATTTCAAGGCGTCCCCTGGCCCCCCTCGTCCGCCCACATGCCGCTCCCCATTTAACGTCCCCATCCCAGAGCCGCCTGCGATCGGATTCGGTGCGCTCTGATTTGCCAACCGAGGCCGCGATTCCGATTCGATTCGCTTCGCTTCGAGTCACCGGGATCAGCCTGGGCCAGCTGGAGCTTGGCAGCTTGGCGCGGCGATCCTATCTTGATCCGATTTGGGACGTCTTGCTGACGATCCGATTCGTTCCCGGTGCTGATCCGATCTCGCGATTCGACCCAGGTCAGACCTGCATCCCTCCCACTCAGACCCCCAACATCACGATGTTCTAACGACGTGGAACCCCAGAGGTTTATTGTGACGGTGTCAGGGCCCGCTGGGCGCCCCGAAAACAGCAAAATATGTGTTGTGTTGATGTTTCAATGAACCGAGGAGGTCTGGGTCCCTCCCATGGAGGCAATGTTGTGTTTCATTAGACGCAGCCAATTTGCTTGCATGGCGTTCCCCCCCCCCCTCGGCCGCCTTTTCCAACAGCGATGGGCCGAGCATGCGTGCAGGCAAGCCACGACTCGCGGCAAGTCCAGACTCTTCCATTTGGGCCGCACAACGTCCCCCCCCTCCCCCCCTCCAGGCAAGTAGACTTGCCGGGGCCTAAATCGGCCACGCGCAGAGGGGGGCAGGGAGGGGGGAAGTCTTCTCAGATGGAGGCCGCTTCTTAAAAAGGCGCGGGCCGTGTTTGTAGATTTAGGGCACGCGCCGTCTAAGAAACAGCCTCCTTCTAAGAAGCCTTTGGGTAGGGCTACCAACAAAGGGACGTCAAGGTGGTCAAACTAGCACTGCAACATCCAGCCATTCGTTTCGCAATGCGTCCAAAGGTTTGTCTTGACGCTGGGCGTGGTGCACTCGGTTCAGCTGGACCGATCAGATTGGTTGCGCCCTTCGGCGTCCATTTGGGGAGTCCACTTGGGGCGTCCAGTGGGCATCGGAAACGGCAGGCCGTTTCTTCACCGTTTCCGAAGCAGCGCCTCTTGGAAATCGAGACGGCACAGAAACGGCGACTGGAAAAGGCAAGAAAAACGGCTGCAGGATTGGAGCCAGAACCGGAACTGGTCTCAAAACGGCGACAGAACCAGTTAAAAGAAACAGCGTAGGTGCCGGCGACAAAAACGGGGAAGAACGGAGCAGGTGAAACAACGGCCTTGTCGGTTCCAGGGCCCACGCAGTCCAGCCCAGCTCGAACCCTCCCCTTGACCCCTCCCCTTCACTCCTGCTCGAACCCTCCTCTTGACCCCCTCCCCCTGACCCTGCTCGAACCCCCGCCCCTCCCCCTGACCCCTCGGTGCGCCGCCAGCGCAGGGCGGCCGCAGCTGCGAGCGGCGAGCGGCGAGCGGCCGAGCGGGAAGCAGCCTCCTTGTAAGAAGCCTCCCCTTCTCCTTCTCCTCCAGCTAAGCCGCCTCCTCCCAGGAAGCCGCCCCCCTCCTCCCCGCGCCAAGAGGCAGCCTCCTGGCTGGGGGGCAGCCTCCCCCTCGGCAGCAGCAGCCTCCCCATTCGGAGCGGCCGCCCTCCTCCTCGGAGGAGCCTCCTCCCGGAAGCCTTCCGTCTGTGTGCGCCGCCAGCCGCAGAAAGGCGGTCGCCGGGGCCCCCCCCGCGCAGGCCCGACGCCGCGGGGCCCGGCGCCGCGGCCCCCGGCGCCGCGGGGCGCGCGCCCCCCGCCTCGGAGGCTGCCCCGCCGGGGCGCGCCGCCCGGAGCGCCAGAATTCGCGGCACGCCGCGCGGGCAGAAGCGCGCGCTCCTCGCCCGACGCCGCCGCCCTGCCGCGCAGGGTCGGGCCGCCGCCGCTGCCCGCGTGGTCTCCCTGCATCGCTCGGACACGTTCCCCCCCCCCCCCCCCTGGCGAGGACCCTCGAGGGGCATCTTGGAGCAGCGTGCGAAGGGTGACGCGCGGAACCTCGGAAAAGGAACACACCTCATGGACATCAGCTTTTTTGGCGCTCCGCTCGGATTTATTGGATCTGCGCTTGGCCCCCCCCCCGGCGGGTCCTCTGGCGCCGCCCCCGGCGCGCTCCGCGCGCCAGGGGGGGGGGGTCCAGCGCAGATCCGAGAAGTCCGCGCGGAGCGCCAAAAGTTCATGCTTATGGCAGTCGCTCTTCGTCTACAGGCGCGGAAAACTGCAGCATGCACGGGGAAGGGACGCCCGAACGACGGCAAGTCTCCAGGACAGGCGCGGAAAACTGCAGCATGCCGGGGAAGGGACGCCCGAACGACGGCAAGTCTCCAGGATTCCCAGAAGGGGGTCCGGGCAGACGGGATCGGGGGATCGCGCCGCATCGCCGATGCATCGGCGATGCGGCTCGACGTGGTGCCCGATGTTCTCCACACCAACGTCGCCGATGCATCGCCGACGTCGCCGATGCCTCGACGATGCATCGGTCATGCGGCGCAATCCTCCGACCCCATCTACTCGAACTCCATCTGGGAGGCCACTAGCATCAGGGCCGCCCCCACCCAGACCCCTTCGCGTCGTGAAAACGTCACGGGGAACCCTGGCATCCTGGCGTGGCAAGTGTTCTGCACCTGGCGATGTTGCCCTGTTTCGGGTCCTGGGGCCCTCACGGATCGATCCGACTCGAGGAGTGGCACAGAAGGATAGCGTCTAGGCTTCGGTTCGTGATGTTTCGTGATGTTGAATTTTGGTTCGCAACGTCGGATCTCGGGGTTCGG